GCGTAACGCGTTTCGTGACAGGTAAAAGTATTATTCGGTAATCCTAAAACCTCTTGTGGTATTACATTCGATAATGGACTGGTGCAACAGCAACAAATTGATATTCAATATTGCAAAGACTAATATTTTGACTTTTAAGGGGTCTGTAACGCACGTTATTCTGAACAATGTCCCATTAAGTAAAAGAGAGAGTTATAAGTTTCTGGGAGTGTTCATTGATACAAAGTTAAAATGTGAGGATCATATACAGGTCATGCGAAAAAAATTGGCATCAGCATGCTATGCTATAAGGATGGCAAGAATGGATTTAGGCCAGGGCTGGGACTCTGTAACGGATATAGATCGTTATCCCTATCGCTATGGCACTTGCTGTCTTTTTCAATCTTTTCGAAATCAATAGAGAGGGGACGTCAATAGAGATAGAGAAAATATCTCTATGCGTTACAGAGTTCCAGCCCAGGATGTTACAAGGGGAATATATTTCGCCCTTGTGGAATCGCATTTGAGGTACGGAATTCAATTTTGGGGTTTTGCAAGTCAACTTATACAGTCCGTCTTTGTGCTTCAAAAGCGGGCTGTACGACATTTGTGTGGAGTTGGTCCTAGGGAGCACTGCAAGCCATTATTTATTCGGGAGAGGATCCTCACCTTGACCTCCATTTTTATTCTTATGACAGTAGGCATGGTCCACAATAAGTATAGGAATCCAGTCAATAATTCAGCAAGAGTGACAAGATTCAATAGTGATAATTTGAGATTGCCTATCCCTAAAACTACTTTGACAAAAAACTCAATCATATATGAAGGAATAAAAATGTTCAATCACCTGCCTCTGGAACTTAAAAACTTAGAAAGCAATAGGATTTTCAATAAGCATGTTAAAAGGCTATTGTTGTGTAAAGCCTATTACTACCTTGACGAGTTTTACAATGATAGATATTAATTATGTAGATTTTCTTTTTGTAAATATTTTGTTTTTAAATTTGTTATTTATTTTATTGTTTTTAATTGTTATCGTTTTCTTAACTTAAGTACCACGTTTGCACATAACTTATATCTTTATTTTAATTTCCAGCTTTGTAAGTGAGAGTGTTGAGCTCTTTATACAATAAAGCATTTTTGATTTGATTTGATATTATTGTACTACTGTATTATTGCATTATTATTCAAATTTTTGTAGCATTAAGTATGATTGGTGATCAATGCCTTTATGGCTGCCCTGTACTTTTTCTGTACTGATCAATAAATGAATTGATAATTGCATGGGCTTCACTGATTGTAACAAAAATTAATGAAGTACATAAAATATTGGGTTTTATTATCAGATCTGTCAAGCATTCTAATGTGGATGTATGTATATGTTAGGCTAGTTGACGGCCTCGTGTTGACACGATTGGAATATGGGAGCATAATCTAGTCACCCCTATATGAGGTATGATGCAAAAAACTGGTGCAAATCTGTTGAACGAGTCCAGAGAAAGTTCCTAAAGTATGTTTTTTTTGAAAAGGTTTGGCTTCTACCCTACTCAGAGATATAACCATAATAGACTTTTGAATTTGCTTAATAGACTCGCCGTCGAGAGTAGGCGAATAAAAATATGCCTTATTTAAATTTATAAACTTATAAATAATAATATAAATAGTCCTAGCATTTTATATCAGCTCCCATTTTCAATAATTTGTGTCTACACCTATATGCTTTTCACTTATTATTGGCGTAGCATTATCCATTGAAATTTGGCAGGTTGACCCTCGTATAATAATGACAGTATATGTCAAATTCCAGACAGTTTTAAGTGTGGTTTACATAATTTCGTAAGTGCCACGGTATTAAAATTTTCTGGCCTATCTGGCAAATCAAATTTGACACATTTTTCAATGCATTTTTCAATAATGCTATATTATAAACGGTACCTAACTATTTTGCGTACCTGCAAAATCTAATGACATTTTTTAAAATTCGGCATTGTCAAATTTCTTTCGTATTGAAGATGCCGAAAATAATCTCAGAAAAAAAAAGAGCAATATTAAAATATCATGGTTATTTAAAAAAAATAAACCAGAGGCTCTCCAGGGAACAATTGAAGCCCAATTTGCAGATATATTTGAGGTAGGTATAACTTAAATGTAGATGTGAAGCCATTTCTTACCCAACCAACATTTTCCTTAAATTTTAGGTGGGAACCAGGACTATTCAAAGAATTTTGACTGGACAATATACAATCAAAAAACCTTTAGGCCGACCGAAAAAGACAGAGACTATTATGGACCGAATGTTTAAAGAAGATTTATTACAACGACAAATTTGGAAATACAATTCTAAAAATGAATATTTTACATACCAAACATTACTGACATACGCAAAAGAAAATTTGGAATTTAAGGGAGGGCAAACAAGTTTATATAAAATTTTAAAATCTATGGGATATAAATTTAAAGCAGTAAATGGACGCAAAATATTATGTGAGCAGAAACATGTTCTTGCTGCCAAAATTACATTTTTGCGGAAATACCTTCAATATAAACATTCAAACGAAAATATCAGATTCGTGTATTTAGATGAAACTTGGATCTACCAAAACGGATCTCAAGTTCGTCGATGGATACACGAATCTGATATGAAAAGCAACCCAACGTTTCACTATTTTGCATGCGGAGAGTAAGTAGTTCTGGGTTTTTAGATGGGTGCGATTTTTTTCTAGATTCAAGAAACAATGACACAGACTACCACAATACCATGAACGCGGACATCTTCCAAAAATGGGTCGTTGATCAACTAATTCCTGCATTGAATATATTTGAAGAGAAATGTGTAATAATCATGGACAACGCTCCATATCATTCAGAACGGAAGGATAAACCACCTTCATTCTCTTCAAAAAAAGACAAAATGCAGGAATGGTTGGTTAAACATAACGTAGACTTCGACACAAAAATGACCAAAAAACAACTAAGGGACCTAACTCAACCATTTCGGAATAGACCAAAACAATACAAAATTGACGACATTTTGAAAAGCCACGGACACCAAATTCTTAGATTACCTCCTTATCATTGCCAATATAATCCTATTGAAATGGCATGGGGGTTAAGTATTTTACACTTTCTCAAAAAATCTTACCACCCCCCCATGCCTTACAACCCTTTCAAAAAGATAAGGCTTTGTTACAATCGATCCTGCAAGGGAAGATATTTGGAAAGAGAGGACCAGAAAGAAGAAGAATATCGTTACTGAAAAATCTCAGGGACCAAACCCGAAAAAAAAGTTACTGCAAAAACATATTTTTCCACTGACGTTTCATAATAGCAACTTTTCGATTGTCATTTTAGTTTTGAAACGACATTCTTTTAAGCACTCAGTGCGTGAAAGTGACTTTTAGGCACTCAGTGCGTAAAAGTGACTTTCAAGTGCGTAAAAGTAACTTTCAAGTGCGTAAAAGTGGCTTTCAAGTGCGTAAAAGTAACTTTTAAGCACTAGTGCCTAAAAGTGTCATTCATTGTTCAGAAATAAAAAACTCACTAAGCACAGATTTTTGTTTTGTTTTTATTATGAATATTAGTCACCACCATGAAAGGTGTCAAGCAAAAGCAGCTGACAAACATTGAAATAAAATTGTGTTATTTATTATGAAATGCCAGTAGGAAAAATCTTGTATACAATACGTTACGAAACAAATTCTTTTAGTCACTTGACGACAATTTTCACGTCGCGTGCCTAAAAGACGCTCATTTCGCAACTTATTGTATAAATAGCTATTTTCTACTGACGTTTCATAATAGCAACTTTTCGATTGTCATTTCAGTTTTGAAACGACATTCTTTTAGGCACTGAGTGCGTGAAAGTTACTTTTAGGCACTCAGTGCGTAAAAGTGACTTTTGAATGCGTAAAAGTGACTTAAGAGTGCGTAAAAGTAATTTTTAAGCACTAGTGCCTAAAAGTGTCATTCATTATTCAGAAATAAAAAACACACTAAACACATATTTGAATTTTGTTTTGTATTTATTATGAATATTGAAAATGGAATTACTGAATTGAACGTTTGGGTTACTCAAAACAGAACTTTGTGTTATTACCTACTTTCTAGGATTTTAATTATTGATGTCGAATTTTGAAAAGAAAATCGCATGAAAAGTGTCAGGTGTCAAGTAAAAGCAGGTAACAAAGATTTTGGGTGTAATCGACTTATTCACATGAAATAAAATTGTGTTTTTTTATTATAAAATGCCAGTAGAAAAAATCTTGTATACAATACGTTACGAAACGATGTCTTTTAGTCACTCGACGTGTTGTCCAACTCGGCTTTGCCTCGTTGGACAATTTTCACGTCGCGTGCCTAAAAGACGCTCATTTCGTAACTTATTGTATAAATAGCTATTATGCTATTGAGCTTACTGTTATGGTTACCTACGTTTAATTAATAAATTGAATAATTTTACTATTTGAATTTACTCAGATATTTTACACATTCTAGCAAATTTCCATGGATAATGCTACGCCAATAATAAGTGAAAAGCATTAACAGAAATATGTTTTATTTGGACTTTCCTAGGACAAATTTGTATAAAAATTCTCCAGTTCACCTTATGTGCAATTATTTTAACATTTATGCAAGTGACATGGACATAAACACTATTACTTTAGGACAGTTTAGTAAAATTATGAATGAGAAACTTTTTATTTTCCAGGCTCAGGAGTAGACAAGTTTGCTATATTTAATAAGTGTTTATTATTGTAACGATGTAAATTTTAAATAATTATTGTTTACCATTTGGAGTTTGCTCGGTTGTGTATCGTAGTAAATAGATAAAAAATCCCACTCCACTGTATTATTAACAAGTAAAAGTTCTCTTACTAACCGGACAAGTATCAATGTTGTATCTCCGGTAGAAATTTAGACTAAATTTTTAGTGTAGGTATCTTCTTTCTCAACTTATGAGAAGATATACGTATAATGGTATTATGTATACCTACTTCCTCCAAAAAACTTCAGTAGTATTTTTATATTCACCATGGCGTCGGGAAAAGCCGCTTTAATACCTGCTGGAAAGCCCAACAAAAAATCCAATGTCTAATAATAGCAACGCAATTATTTTTTGTTCCAATTAGAACCAGTTCTAATTGAAACGTCGACCTTAGGTACGATGTGTGATTACTAAATTCCCTAAAAAAATACACCACCTAATTAATTAAAATGTTATTAAATATCTTTATTGATTAGGCTATAAAAAGTTTTGTTTTGTAAAGAATTAATATACTATAATATAATTGTTTTCTGTTTTGTTTGATACCTTACTTGCTTTGAGCATTAATTATAATACAATACACATACAAAATGTTTCTTTTTTTTTGGCAGTATTACCTTATAATAATTATTGTAAAAAGTGGTTAAACTGATTTCAAATTTCATGTAAAAATATAAAATCTCATGTTATATAAAAGCACCACTGTATAGGAAAGCATCCAAATAGAAGAGATATTTGTGATCCTTCTGCTTAAATACAATAAATAAACGTAAAAATTAACTAGTACAGAGATAAATGTGAATCTTTCCGCTCAAAACATCAATTAATAAATAAAATCATGATTTTAACCACCTATCGTTTGTTAAGTTTTAAGGCTTAAATCTAATCGGAGGTAACTTTTTTGGAAATGCATTCAAGTAGGGCGTCGAAAAAGTTCGGAAATCCATCGTAACCTATAACAGAATCGAAACCTAATGAATTTTATTATATTTGCTACTCGTTGCTACTAGTCAAAGCGAGGAGCTAGGAATCATTAGTATAGGACCCTTAGATTGCCATATTTTAATTGATTACTATTGGCAGTTTCAAACATCCATGCTGAACCTGATGGTAAATAATAAGAACCTTGGGCAGTTTGTAGAAAACAAATGGCTAAAATGTGTTTGTTCTTTGGCATTATGTGTGAGTAAGGGCCAGGTTGTGTGCTCTATAAGTAAAAAATGCGTCGAATTTGGAATCTTACAGGTCTTACTACTTAGGAGATTATTACAAAAATAAATACCTCAGTCCAAGTCATACCATTAAGAGATTATTTAGACCCAATAAATGTTAAAAAAAAAATAAAAACATTAGCTCAGAAGGAATCCTTCAGGGATCCGTTTTGAGAATATACATAATAATATACTGCAATCCTGTACTGAGACTGCAATTTGAAATCGGATAAAGATAATAATGAAAAAAAGCTACACAAGTTATATCTGGGAATAATAAGGATTGGCAGCAGCATTAGCTTCAGCACAATATTGTACAAAATAGAGTGGAAAAATAGCATTTCCAGTTAGGACAATATAAAGGGACCAAATACTTTCCAAAGTCTGAGGGCGATGCTGCACTGTTGTACATAGAAATAACAAAATAAGATCTGAAAGTTATAAACACAGAAGCTCTCAATAGTTGCACGTTGCACATAGATATAGAAGTGTTTCAAGTGCAGCAATCCAGAATGTTGCAATTTTTCAAGATATTCCTTATGTTCAAATATTGAGGGTCGAACAAGAAAAATAATAAAAAGAAAACAATCCAAATCAAACATTGGATCACAAATACCTATAACTCAATATCCAACAAGTGAAATTTGTGTAAAAGACCAGCCATGGGTATTCAAAACTGCCAATAGAAAGACTACTATAGAAATAAAAATATACTTTACCTGGATATGCATTGACATCGATTATCGCGTATCGCCCGCTCGTATTCTCTATCACAACATCAATCCCCAACAAGTCCATTCCAAACGATTTCCTAAGGGTACTAGCAATCACTTCCATAACTTTCGGATCCGGTTCCCATTTTTCAAGTACCACATCATCCGGATCCAAGACTGACAATCTACTTTTCGAATCCGCCTTTGAGACATCGCTACTATCAAAGTATATGGATTCCCTTTGACTAGCATGGAAATTTTTCAATGAAGGCCTCTCCACATAATAATGACTATCTCCTACTATAAAAATTTTGTACAATATAGCGTTATGGTTAATAAAGCTTTGCGCTACGCACGGGGTCCTACAGTCTATGAGGTGCTTTTCGTCAAAAATTATTGACATTTCGTGGGCCTGCCGCGAACCATGTCCCAATATAGGTTTACATATAAACGGATAAGTGACTAGCGAGTTTTTCAACTCGTCCCTAATTACATCTAAATCACCGTTTCTAAGTACGCAAAAGTTGGGGGTAAATACCCCATAGTTGTGTAGATCTGATGCGTGGATTATGCTGTAACAGTTATACCTATCAAGTAATTGCTTTACATTTGGAATGGGGTCGAGTACTGTTATTGAGGGGTTCGATTTGAGGTAGTCTTCGACGGCGTTGATTATTTCGTTACTCTGAAAAAAAAAATCGTAACTATATTAAAATAATATACAGATTGTCTCTTTAATAAAGGTAGCACACATTTCAACAAATATTCTAAAATTTAAAATAAAGGGACTTAACGAATTTGAAGTTCTATTCACTTATTTGTTTATGTGTTGGTTTATGTAATAAAAAGCCATGTAAAGTACAAAAAAGTAATATGTATAGAAACAACAGAGTAAATCGAACCACAAACATTCATGACACATGAATTTCCTGTTCTGTCTGGTCCCATACTGATCTCATGGCTTGAATATTTATATTCATATACCTGATCTATAGGTACTTCATTTTCTTCCAATTTGTATGTTATCGTTCGGGAGAAGACTGGTCCGGTCTATTTTCAACCCAAACTTTCTTAGGCCTATGAGTCATAAACTGTCTTTCTTGAAAATTATCTGCCTCTAAAACGTTGATATTGGCGAAACAAAGGTAATTTAAATTCTCTCTACCGACCATCGACATGCAATGTCATGTCCCCCTGTCTGCAATTTGACTTCAATCTACTATAAAGTGTCCCCCATAATGTTCGCTACATATGAGTAAATTTTTTATTTGTAGGATATGGATTTTTTTTTATGTGCGATCGATCCTGCATGTCCGATAACCTTAAAGTACATTTTGACATTGGTCACGTGATCACTGTTGTGGCGGCAAATTTGAAAATTTAGATATGGAAACGCGAAAAGTTGAGTTAGATGGCAGAATTCCGAAAAAATATTTTAACTTATCCGTTGTCCATTGTTCATATGTAGTCATCTATTCCTTCTACTCAATTTAACCGGTTTAAAACTATTGACATTTACCGCCAAAATTTAAAGCACTCCAAGTTCACTCGCGCCCTCTACAAAATTTTGAGGAATTTAACTGGATATTTGCTGCCATTGAAATGTATACAGTTATAATAATAGCTTTTATTTACATTATGCTTTTTATTGAACAAATAAGAATGTGAAGAATAAAATGCGCGGAAACAAAAAAATATATTACGAAGACAATAAAATGTACCTACAAATACAGCAAAATAGATACTTGAGATGTTTACACTTAAAAAATGTGAGGTGGCGTGGGAGAGATGATATTTATTTGTCAAAGTTTGTCAAACGAATTTCTACTTATGCAAAACTGTTCGACTCAAATAATTTCTAAATATTTTTGATACTACAGGCGTCCATAATTAGGCTATAGAAAAAAAAAATTGTTTTACACACGACGATAAAATGCCATTATCGTCTCTCGGAATTAATTCATTCGGGATTCCGCTCATGAATTAACTTTTCCGGTCAACGATAAACTACCATTTTATAGTCTTGTACAAAAAATAACCAATAAATGAAAACATTAATTTTTTATTTCTACGTTACATTCTGAACCTATTTTATGTATCATGTCCTATAAAGTCTGTTTTTTTTTTAAAGATAATTCCCCAAGTCAAAAATTTAGTAACTTTGTTGGCAACAAAAGCCATTTCTACATAAAAAATTTGAAAGCATTGACAATTTTACATTGTATTGCCAACATAATGTCATTTTGACTTTTATCTTTAAAAAACAAAACAGATTTTACCTATCTTCAACTGTTTCGGAAATATTAACAGTTGAAAATTGACTTTTCTGCAACTTTGACAGGCTGTAAAACCTGAACGGTTAATTTTACCGCTAAACCGATCATACATTCTTGTCTTAGTTTTCCATAAACTATCATTTAACACCAACTTTGAATTTAACCGGAATTTTCAACCACGGATTTAATTCCAAGTTGGTGTCAAATGATAGTTTATGGAAAACTAAGAATGTATGACCGGTTTTGCTCTATAATTAACGGTTTAGGTTTTACAGCCTGTCAAAGTTGCGAAAAAGTCAATTTTCAATTGTCATATCTCCGAAATAGTTGAAGATAGGTATAGGCCATGAGGCATAGAATATGTTCAGAATTTAACGTAAAATTTTAAAATGGAATAAGAAATTTGTGTTTTCATCTGAAAAAATAAAGTAAGCTGTCATTTTGTCTTTTTGGGTTACCCTGTATACATGATATTATCAATAGTAATATAACGAGTGCAATAAAAATTATCGATATTTTCTGGGAAATTTGCCCGAATGCATTTTTTAGTTAAAAACACATAAGTGCAAATTTGTCGAAAATTATAGATATATTTCCATTGCTCGAGTTGTATTTTATGAGAGAATTTCATGAATCAAAAATTTAAATTTTTTGTCAAAAATGTCAAAACACCAGTTCTCGCAGCAGTTAGGGTAGGTTTTGATGCATCCGTCATCCGATGATACGACAATACGAAATGCTTCCGATTGGTTGAGTTTACGACTTTTTATTGGTCAAAGAATTCGGACATTTTCTGATGTTTAGTATTTTCATGCATCCGACATCCGATGATAAGTATCGTTCACGAATGGTCAAAAATATTTGACTGCCCAGGTTATTGAATTATTTCTCTTAAGCGTGAGCAAAGAATATTATAGTTAACACTTATAGAAAACCTATTCCATGTATATTTTTTAACCCCTGAATGGAGCCAGACTTTTCGAGCCGGGCTCCATCGGAGAGGTAGGCTCGCCGTAATCAACGGGGCTCCAGTTGATGGCTAGTCGGCGTTGCCATATGTCCATATAAATATGTATAATAACTTTAAAACGGTGACCGCGCTGATGTGAAAAAACACGATATGCGGGAAAAGATGGAAGATTTTGTTTTGAAAATATCGCTGAAAAATTGCTAGACGATAATCGCAGTTCGAACTCGAGTTTCTTACAGAAATATCATAGTTTTTCAATTTTTTTCTGGAAAACTGGCCAAGTAAAAATTGTGCAATTTTTTCAGGAAAAAGACTAAAGTGAGGAGCTTATTATGGGAAAATTTCAAAATTTTCCAATGGAAAATCATTCCAGGAAAAATTCTGGAAAATAGATTTTTTTAAGCAAAATTCATTTTCTTACATTTTATTTTTTTCCTAGAAAACTGGCAAAAGGAAAATTGTGAAATTTTTTCAGAGAAAAGAGGAAAGTGAGGATTTCATTATAGCAAAATTTCAAAATTTTCCAGTGAAAAATCACTCCAGGAAAAATTTAGGAAAACTGACTTTTTTGAGCAAAATTCATTCTTTTACATTACAATTCTTTTCTGGAAAATTGGCAGAGTAAAAATTGTGATACTTTTCCAGGAGAAAGACGAAAATGAGGAGCTTATTATAGGAAAATTTCAAAATTTTCTAGTGGAAAATCATTCCAGGAAAAATTCTGGAAAATTGACTTTCTTAAGTAAAATTCATTTTCATTCTTTTTAGTTTTTTTCCAGGAAACTGGCAAAAGGAAAATTGTGAAAATTTTTAAGAAAAAAGAGGAAAGCGAGGAGTTCATTATAGCGAATTTTTGAAATTTTCTAGTGAAAAATCAATCGAGGAAAAATTCTTGAAAATTGACTTATTTAAGCAAAATTAAGGAAAATTTACCTTCTTAATTTTATTTTTTTTTTCTGGAAAACAGGCTAAGGTAAAATTTTGAAAATTTTCCAGAAAAAAGAGAAAAGTGAGGAGCTTATTAGAGGGAACTTTCAAAATTTTCTAGTGAAAAATCATTCCAGGAAAAATTCAAAGACAATTGACTTATTAAGGCAAAATTGAGGAAAATTCACCCTCTTACATTTTAATTTGTTTCTGGAAAACTGGCAACGGAAAAATTGTGCAATTTTTCCGGGAGAAAGACGAAAGTGAGGAGCCTATTATAGGATAATTTCAAAATTTTCCAATGGAAAATCATTCCAGGAAAAATTCTGGAAAATAGATTTTTTTAGGCAAAATTCATTTTCTTGGATTTTATTTTTTTCTTAGAAAACTGGCAAAAGGAAAATTGTGAAATTTTTTCAGAAAAAAAAGGAAAGTGAGGATTTCATTATAGCAAAATTTCAAAATTTTCCAGTGAAAATTCACTCCAGGAAAAATTCAGGAAAACTGACTTTTTTAAGCAAAATTCATTTTTACATTACAATTCTTTTCTGGAAAATTGGCAGAGTGAAAATTGTGATATTTTTCCAGGAGAAAAACGAAAATGAGGAGCTTATTATAGGCAAATTTCAAAATTTTCCAGTGGAAAATCATTCCAGGAAAAATTCTGGAAAATTGACTATCTTAAGTAAAATTAATTTTCAATCTTTTTATTTTTTTTCTAGAAAACTGGCAAAAGAAAAATTGTGAAAATTTTCCAGAAAAAAGAGGAAAGCGAGGAGTTCATTATAGAAAATTTTTAAAATTTTCTAGTGAAAAATCACTCGAGAAATAATTCTGGAAAATTGACTTATTTAAGCAAAATTAAGGAAAATTTACCTTCTTACATTTTAATTTTTTTCTGGAAAACTGGCAAAGGGAAAATTTTGAAAATTTTCCAGGAAAAAGAGAAAAGTGAGGCACTTATTAGAGGGAACTTTCAAAATTTTCCAGTGAAAAATCATTCCAGGAAAAATTCAAAGACAATTGACTCTTAAGGCAAAATTGAGGAAAATTCACCCTCTTACATTTTAATTTGTTTCTGGAAAACTGGCAACGGAAAAATTGTGCAATTTTTCCAGGAGAAAGACGAAAGTGAGGAGACTATTATAGGATAATTTCAAAATTTTCCAATGGAAAATCATTCCAGGAAAAATTCTGGAAAATAGATTTTTTTAGGCAAAATTCATTTTCTTGGATTTTATTTTTTTCTTAGAAAACTGGCAAAAGGAAAATTGTGAAATTTTTTCAGAAAAAAAAGGAAAGTGAGGATTTCATTATAGCAAAATTTCAAAATTTTCCAGTGAAAATTCACTCCAGGAAAAATTCAGGAAAACTGACTTTTTTAAGCAAAATTCATTCTTTTACATTACAATTCTTTTCTGGAAAATTGGCAGAGAGAAAATTGTGATATTTTTCCAGGAGAAAGACGAAAATGAGGAGCTTATTATAGGCAAATTTCAAAATTTTCCAGTG